CCTCGTCGTCCTCCGGTCCCGTGGTGGACCAAGGAATGCGGAGATGCGATTCGTGCCAGGAAGCGCGCTTTTAGAAAGTTTGACCGGAGTAGTACTACTGAGAACCTCATCGCTTTTAAGAAAGCGCGGGCTTTTGCCCGTCGCGTTTTAAAAGAGGCAAAGGCTGTTTCATGGCGCACGTACGTGAGTTCCTTAAACCGTTTTACTCCTACGACCCAGATATGGGCACGCATGAAGCGCATTGAAGGCCGGTTCAGCTCTGTTCCGCTTCCGGTTTTAAGAGTGAACAACACGGACATATCCCACCCTTTAGACGTCGCAGAGACGATAGGCCGTGCACTCTATCAGCGCTGCCGAGGAGAGCCGTCCTCACGACCTGCACCAGCCGCCGTGGACTTCAGCACAGCTGAAAATTTGATGTACAATGAGCCTTTCTCTATGGCTGAGCTCACGTCTGCCATCAGCTCGTTGCGCAGCGTCTCAGAAGGTCCGGATGCTGTCCACAACGACATGCTCCGTCATCTCCCAGCAGTTGCCCTCGAGGCGCTGCTAGCAACTTTCAATTCGCTTTGGGAGACTAGCACTTTCCCTGAGACCTGGCGGGAAGCCACTATCATTCCTATCTTGAAGGCTGGCAAGTCGGGACATGACCCTCTCCACTATCGGCCCATCTCTCTCACATCATCGCTTTCAAAGCTGATGGAGAAGATGGTCAATGTGCGTCTTAGCTGGTTTTTGGAACATCACGGTGTTTTTACAAACGCCCAGTGCGGCTTTAGAAAGCACCGCAGCCCTGTTGACCACATTTTAGCCCTCGACACCGAGATACGCACCTGTTTTACTGAAAAGAAGCACCTTGGAGCACTGTTCTTTGATATTGAGGCGGCCTATGATACAGTGTTACGACACAGAATACTTTCCAAAGTACACAAGTACGGCATACGCGGCCGGATGGGCCTCTTTATTAAGAACTTTTTATCGGGTCGTCGGTTCAAAGTCCGAGTTGGCAGTAGTCTTTCGAGCAGTTTTACCCAAGATAACGGAGTTCCCCAGGGCGGGGTGCTTAGTGTGGCGCTCTTTGCAGTGGCGATCAATGACATCGCTGATGATCTGCCGGTCTCGATCGGTAGATCGCTCTTCGTGGATGATTTTGCCATTTGGTTTGCCGCTTCAAGCGCTCGGCATATGGCCAGACAGCTGCAGCTTGCAGTGACGCGGTTGGAGAGATGGAGTCGAGACAACGGTCTTCGTTTTTCAACAACGAAGACCGTCGCTATGCACTTTTGCCGCCGCCGCTGCGGCGACCTTCCCTTGGGAATCCAGCTCTATGGACAGATGATTCCTACTCGTCCGGTGGCGAAGTTTCTTGGGATCTTTTTTGACAGTCGTTTAACGTATAAAGAACATTTTAGAACGCTTCGGGAACGATGTTTTAAATCCCTGAACGTTTTAAAATGTGTCGCCCGCACATCTTATGGTGCGGACCGCAGGACCCTTCTTCTTCTATATCGATCTATTGTACGATCGAAGCTAGATTACGCTTCTTTTGTCTACGATTCAGCGAGTGAATCTAGCAAGAGGGTCCTGGATACAGTCCATCATGCAGCACTCCGAGTAGCCACCGGAGCATTCCGCACCTCGCCCAGGAGCAGCATTCTTGCTGAGGCGCATGAACCGCCACTTTCACTCCGCCGTCAGATGTTGGGTATGCGGTACGCGCTGAAACTGCGCCAATTTCCTATGCACCCGACGTACCCATACGTTTTTTCACGGCATGCCACCCGATGTAACGGAAGGTTACGACCCTCGTTCGGAGTGCGCATGAAAGAACTGTTTTCAATAGCTGACATAGCATTGCGTAACGTTCGTCGTACCTGGGCTGCGCCCCCTCCACCGTGGAAAAGTGTCAGTCCACAGGTGGATCTTTCGCTTTCTGCAGTTCCAAAGGGCAAGTTGCTGCCTGCAGAGGCACGAGTCCGAGCCTTGGAACACCTTGCCTCTTACGATGGTTTTATTCCTGTATTCACAGACGGCTCTAAAACACCTGAGGGAGCGGGCTGTTCTTTCGTCGCTGGCGACGATACCCGTTCATTTTCGTTGCCATCTTTCGCCTCGGTGTTTTCATCGGAACTTGTTGCCATCGAGAAGGCTTTGTGTTTTATTGAGGTATCGGACGGACCTTTTTACTTGATTTTATCGGACTCCCTAAGCAGCCTGTTGGCCCTACGGAGTTTTAATCCAGCCGACCCGATCGTTCAAGACATTTTAGCTCGGCTTCAGTCAGTAGAACAATCGGGTAAATCTGTTCAGTTCTGCTGGATTCCCAGTCACGTTGGCGTTCATGGCAATGAGCTGGCAGACGCGGCTGCAAGGCGTGCTGCTGCAGCACCCTGCACTCGTCGGTTGCCATTGCCGGCGCGTGATTTTTACCCTGCTGTACGATCTTTTATTCTAACGGAGTGGCAGGCAGAGTGGCGCCTGCGTGGAGGCAGGAAGCTCCGAGAGGTGAAGCCGACTCTGGAGCATTGGAGGTCTTGCTCGCAAGACAACAGGTCAAACGAAGTGATTTTATGCAGGCTCCGCATCGGTCATACGTATGCGACGCATGGCCACCTTCTCCGCGGAGATGAGCAGCCCGTTTGCGGCGGGTGCGCCGTGCCTCTCACCGTCGCCCACGTGCTTTTATCTTGTCGACGCTTGGAACCGGACCGGACTCGCTACCTGGGCCGCATCGCTCCGGATATCACCGTCCGCCACTTGCTGGGTGACGAGTCACCCTGGGTTTTATCTGGCAACATCTTTTCCTTTATCCGTTCAATCAAATTCCAAGTAATCTACTCGATCTGATACCAAACCAACTAGTCCATACGTCTATTCTAATCTAGTCCTTACGCCTAGTCAGCTGTCTTTTACGATACGCTTGGAGTATTTTACCCTTCTTTGCTCTTTTTAACCAGCTTTTAGGCTTTTTTAAGCCTTTTATTACGTCGGTTTTCTTGTGACACACTTGCTTTACTTGTATATAGTTATGGGCGCAAAATGACCTTGTAGTCGGCGCGCCCTTAAGCCCCAATAAACAAACAAATCAGTAAGCCTATCCGAGTTATAGATTGGCAGTTATGGATGTTGTTGAAAGTCATATTACCTAGCGACGGGCTATGTGACCTCAAAATGCTTTGAGCCTTGAATTACCCGTTTTGAAAAGTAATGCAGCCTAGTGAAACATGAAGCAACATGAAAGCCAGCGAATAAAATGCCAAAATCAAAATGCAAGAGCATTGTGACGAAGAGCGCCGAGATGGAGGCAAATAGATGGAACTGGAGGCTGGAGCCACCCAGGAGACGGGATGAAAACTGATACAAATACAAGCCTTTCCTACTGCGTGAAAGGAAATGGGCTACATCTTGAAGAGAAGGTGCATGGTCATTCCATTGTGTTGGTTGAAGAAACAGCCGGAAACGAAAAGGACATGAGCGTAGGGTCACAGGTTGCTCTTTTTTCAAGAGAATTTCATCCGCAAACAAAGACTGCCTATGTTACTGTCAGATTATGAGGTATGTTTAAAAAATGTTACATGAATCGATCAATGGTAGGTATAGTACCTAGTCATAATGTACTCAGATATTGATATCAATAATAGCTAGGTATATATTTATCCTTGACACTTTTAGATATTATTCGTGAACTTATTATGACTGCCTACTGATAAAAGGTTCGAATGAATAAGGAGAATAAATTGTTGATAAAATGCCGTCTTTTTATCGAATCAAAAACTCTGAATAGGCCCGAACGATGCTACGAATTTCAGCGCTTTAGTTCCTTCCGTTCAAAAACGCCAATGGCGTGGGTCAGCCGGATCGAGGGGGTCGGGTCGAGCCGTTTAATGCCGGCATTTTTTCGGAAATGCGGCACACATGAAGTTATATATAAACAGGAAAATGATGAAAATAACCAGTTAAGTGCCTTTTGGGCGAAAAACGAGCGGGAACAAAGTTAACACCTCTTCTTTTTGCTTTTTGCACATGCAGTGGGGGCCACTCACATAGGTCAAGAGTATCCGACCTTTGGTAGAAGGGATGCAGCTACCTTACAACAATTACCGCAAGACAATCGCCCTAGCGGCTGCTGAGATATGAGCCTCCCAAAATCACTACTTTTGCAAAACAGCTTGAAAATGAACACCCTTGACTTTTCACGTAGCACGCAGTAGCGGCGGAACACCTTCAATTAAGGGGGGGGGAGGGCACTGCCGACTTTTGGTCCTATTCTTTCCATGCAACGTCCATAGGGCTAATGATAAAATAGCAAAATCAAAGGGGGGTACGGTGCCCCCCCCCCCCTTCCATCGCCTATGGTGGTGGTACGTGCCACGAGGGTTTCTGAAATGCATTAGGAGTAGTCAATTACGGGGTAGAAGGAATAGGACTACCCAACAAAAAAGACCGAAGGCCAATCGGTCCAGCGGTTGCTGAGATATTAGCCCGGCAAAAGTGTTACTGGCCGGGCCGGACCGGGCAGCTCAATACTGAAATTTTTTCGTTATATTGAAAAGACCTCGCTTCGCTTGCTGCGCTCTCTCGCTCAGTAATAATACATATCGTGTATCTGAGCATTGGTTATTATTGAATTAAATTATTAGCAACGTTAAGCTGATTCCTATGCTTCATCTCCGAAATTCTACACAGTACACACGGTTAGGGCGTTGTAGAATTCGATTGTATTTTCCGTCAAGGAAATCCCAAAATCAGAGGAACCGTTCTTTTTATGAAACAGATTGCTAGTTTTTTGGCTGATAATTGCCGAATGTGAGTTGTAGGTTTGTGGAATTGTAGTTTGTACTTTCGGATTGTACTTTTTCCTTTATGAAACAGATTTGTACAATCGGAAGTACAAACCTACAAACTACAACTACAATTCTACAATTCCAGGCTTTATGAAAAAGGACACAGGCCTCTGTCCACCTGGCGCTGTGTGACAGACTGTCCCTCCCTCCCCGCAGGGTTACCTGGTGTGCTCGCACCTGCCGGTCGAGGACCAGGCCTCTGTCCACCTGGTACTGTCTGACAGACTGTCCCTCCCCTCCCGTCTCGGCAGGGTTACCTGGTGTGCTCTCACCTGCCGGTCGAGGACCAGGCCTCTGTCCACCTGGTACTGTCTGACAGACTGTCCCTCCCCTCCCGTCTCGGCAGGGTTACCTGGTGTGCTCGCACCTGCCGGTCGAGGACCAGGCCTCTGTCCACCTGGTACTGTCTGACAGACTGTCCCCCCTCCCCGCAGGGTTACCTGGTGTGCTCGCACCTGCCGGTCGAGGACCAGGCCTCTGTCCACCTGGTGCTGACTGACAGACTGTCCCTCCCCTCCCGTCTGGGCAGGGTTACCTGGTGTGCTCGCACCTGCCGGTCGAGGACCAGGCCTCTGTCCACCTGGTGCTGTCTGACAGACTGTCCCTCCCGTCTCGGCAGGGTTACCTGGTGTGCTCGCACCTGCCGGTCGAGGACCAGGCCTCTGTCCACCTGGTACTGTCTGACAGACTGTCCCTCCCCTCCCGTCTGGGCAGGGTTACCTGGTGTGCTCGCACCTGCCGGTCGAGGACCAGGCCTCTGTCCACCTGGTACTGTCTGACAGACTGTCCCTCCCCTCCCGTCTCGGCAGGGTTACCTGGTGTGCTCTCACCTGCCGGTCGAGGACCAGGCCTCTGTCCACCTGGTACTGTCTGACAGACTGTCCCTCCCCTCCCGTCTCGGCAGGGTTACCTGGTGTGCTCGCACCTGCCGGTCGAGGACCAGGCCTCTGTCCACATGGTGCTGTCTGACAGACTGTCCCTCCCCTCCCGTCTGGGCAGGGTTACCTGGTGTGCTCGCACCTGCCGGTCGAGGACCAGGCCTCTGTCCACCTGGTACTGTCTGACAGACTGTCCCTCCCCTCCCGTCTCGGCAGGGTTACCTGGTGTGCTCTCACCTGCCGGTCGAGGACCAGGCCTCTGTCCACCTGGTACTGTCTGACAGACTGTCCCTCCCTCCCCGTCTGGGCAGGGTTACCTGGTGTGCTCGCACCTGCCGGTCGAGGACCAGGCCTCTGTCCACCTGGTACTGTGTGACAGACTGTCCCTCCCGTCCCGTCTCGGCAGGATTACCTGGTGTGCTCGCACCTGCCGGTCGAGGACCAGGCCTCTGTCCACCTGGTGCTGTCTGACAGACTGTCCCTCCCGTCTCGGCAGGGTTACCTGGTGTGCTCGCACCTGCCGGTCGAGGACCAGGCCTCTGTCCACCTGGTACTGTCTGACAGACTGTCCCTCCCCTCCCGTCTCGGCAGGGTTACCTGGTGTGCTCGCACCTGCCGGTCGAGGACCAGGCCTCTGTCCACCTGGTACTGTCTGACAGACTGTCCCCCCTCCCCGCAGGGTTACCTGGTGTGCTCTCACCTGCCGGTCGAGGACCAGGCCTCTGTCCACCTGGTGCTGACTGACAGACTGTCCCTCCCCTCCCGTCTGGGCAGGGTTACCTGGTGTGCTCGCACCTGCCGGTCGAGGACCAGGCCTCTGTCCACCTGGTACTGTCTGACAGACTGTCCCCCCTCCCCGCAGGGTTACCTGGTGTGCTCGCACCTGCCGGTCGAGGACCAGGCCTCTGTCCACCTGGTACTGTCTGACAGACTGTCCCTCCCCTCCCGTCTCGGCAGGGTTACCTGGTGTGCTCGCACCTGCCGGTCGAGGACCAGGCCTCTGTCCACCTGGTACTACGACACCGGCAGCTGCTGGAGCGGACCCGCCTCGGCCGCTGGCGTCAGCTGGTGCTGTGGAGACCGTACCGGCGGGCGGCTGCGGGCACCGCCCCGGTCCCGGCGGCGGCCGAGTCCGCACCGGGGCCAGCCGGAGCAGACACTGCCGCCGCAGACAACTACAGCAGCGAGCAGCTGGACCGCTACCTGCTGGTGGTCGGGGCGGTAAGGAGGGACATGGTACAGCAGCTGGACTGCTACCTGCTGGTGGTCGGGGCGGTAAGGAGGGGGGGGGGGAGGAGGGGGTACAGCAGCTGGACTGCTACCTGCTGGTGGTCGCGGCGGTAAGGAGGGGGCATAAGTAGTACAGCAGAGGGGACGGGAAGGGGTACAGCAGCGAGCAGCTGGACAGCTACCTGCTGGTGGTCGGGGCGGTAAGGAGCGGGGGGGGGGGCAGCAGCTGGACAGCTACCTGCTGGTAGTCGGGGCGGTAGGTAGAGGAGGGCTGATTTGTTGTCGTATGCGTGCTTGGAATTGTTTGTGGTTTATGCCTTTTCTCAGGCTCTTCTTCTTCAGGTTTTAGAGAAATTGCCATGTTTTAAATGACCACAAGCGTCATTGTCCTGAGTTTGTTCTCCTTCTCCTTATCGAATCATGCTTTTTGCTTGATTTGCTCTTTACATTTATATTTGCTAATGAAAATCCAGCGATAGTCTCGAGCACTTGCATGATTAAGTGCTGGGTGATATTGCAAGCTACTACTCAGTGAGGGCATATTCAATTAATGGCCCATAGTTCCCCCTGGCCAGCCTGGTGTGGCGTCATTTTGATGTACTATCGTACTCCGTTGATGATGTTCGCATTGACATTGCTCATGTCCATGGTAGTACGGAGCCATCAAATCGACACAGGATTGGAGCCTGTTACTGGGAACCGATCGCCGATATAGCTGCTGATGAAATTTGCAGCGCCCCGGCTAATGTGATTGTGTGATCGGCGGGTCGGCCAGTGCCAGGCCGGCCGATCGGTGTTATCGGAACCGCATACCCGGCTTCGCGCGCACCTGCTATATAATATATATGATGTACGGTATATGCTTTCAGCGCGGGATTTGTGACAGACTACTTCGATTGCAGTCTGTTATTTATATTACAGGCGATACGCTTAGGCCGATCTTGCACTTGTATTCAAGTATTCAATGTCACGTGGCCCACGTACCAACACACCATCCCGCGTCCCGCGACCGACTGCCCGCTCGCCGCGGCGCGCCCGCTCCCCAGCCGCCGCCAGCCGGCCGGCGGCGCCGCGACCACTCGCCGGGCCGCGCCACGGGCGGCGCCAGGCGCTCGCCCAGGGGCGGCCCGCGCCACGGGCGGCGCCGGGCGCCCGCCCAGGGGCGGCCCGTAACACCCCTCCCCCCTAGCACAACGCGCACGATGTAACAACGATGATCCGCACAAGAAATACCGCGAACATGTCTCCCCGCGACACGAACAAACAACCACGCCTCGCCACAAAACCAGGCTGCTTCCTCGCGCCGGCCGCGCAGGGGAGGGTAAGCACCGGGATGGTCCGCCACACATTGAGTCACCGAGCTGCTACGGCTATGCCTCAACAGTCAACAGTATCATACACAGCCGCCTCCATACTACTACTGAGTCGAGCCGCTCCTTGCTCGCTTAACGAAACAAAAAAAGGTACTTGCGCCGCCCCAGAACGAAAGTGAGACACCTCAACACCAAAAGAACACACACATTCAGCCGCTGCTACATACATGTACGGATGCACGGGCCGCCACCCGGACGACCGCCTTTACCACCTGCCCCACACCCGTTAACGCATGCGGAGCCACTTGGGGAATGACAAACTGATGCACCCGTAGCCCCTCTTGTTCAGATGTACGCCGTCCGCGAGATGGAGCCCCTCTGCCACCTTATACACCCGTCGCTTGCCGTGGCGGCAACAGAGTCGCCGCCCCAGCGGGATGACGGCAGCTCCCGTAGCCTTCTTGATTTGGCGGAGAGACTTCTCGAGTTCATAGGCTTGCGTCTCTTCCCATTGTCGGCCCCGATCCCGGGACAGCCGCGGCTGGGTGCCCACGAGTGTGACGTGCACTCCCATCCTCTGTATTTCTCCGATCCGGTCCTGAACTTCTTTCATCAACCGCGTCTTCATCCCCTCTGGTAGTTTGGTGGCGTCCTTCGGGTACACATCGTTTCCTCCTACCCACAGGAATACTTGGGCACTGGAGGTGTCAGGATGAAGGCCATCCAACCACCTCCGCACCTCCATGACCCCCTCAGCCACCCAGCGGCGCAGTGTGTACCCCGGTATGGCCCGGATGGTGAGGCTTCGGGGTGGGTCGCAACGGACGTCTGGTCTGTGCAGGATCGAGTCCCCGATGAGAAGGACGGCTTCCGCGCGACCAGCCTCCGGCGAACCGCCGGACTCCCCGTCGGCCTCACCAACTACCACCTCCTCCGGCGACCCGTCTGTGGGCGTCTCCTCCCGCGGCTTCTCGTCCTGCAGCTCCATGTTCGAAAACTCCTCGAACTCTTGCGCCTCGACACCCAGCAGCTCACTTAGCAGGTCCGTTGTGTCAGTCTCCACCAGGTCGACCGCCAGCGGAGACAGATGGTCACGCACAGGATCCCCTGCGCCCGCCTCTAGCAGGGTATTCACGAACGGGGGTGTGGAGACACCGGCTAACACGGCGGACGTCGGAGACAGCGGCGGCAGATACTCTACAGACCGCTGCGCATCACCCGTGAGCAAGCCGGTCGTCGTCGATGGTCCACCAACCGCTCCGGCGCCGATGGGGAGCGCGATGTCCTCCTGCTGCTGGACAGCCTCCAGGGCGGCACGTACTTCGGCCACTTCCCGCCGCCTCTGCTCCCTCTCCTCTTCGAGGGCCGACCATAGGCGATCGATCTCCTGCCGCATGCGCTCCATCTGAAACTAGAAAGCTGGACTCATTCATCGTCCCGCCTGATAGTATGCGGGCGGCCTTGACACCCGCCCGGTTCGCGTTATGTAGTACCCTTGGGGTGTCCCACCCTGCTGCTCCCGATGGGTCCCTCCGGCGGACCCGCCGGCCCTTACGAATGACATGAATGGTACTTGTAAGCCAGTTGTGTGATCCTCATTGGGTATCCACTCCCGGATCCCCGTGTCATGTTCCTGAGTCATTTCCTTAGTCATATCTGGTCCCTGAGTGTGGCGCTTGGTAGTCCCTTCCTGAATGCCAGACACCCGTGGCACAAACTCCTTCAGGTCATTGTAGTGAACCTGACGTACTTTGCCGCGCTCGTCCTGAATTTTATATGTTGTTTCATCTCGCCCCCCACGGTTACCGATGATGGTCACCGGTCCCTTATACGGCAGACCCAGTTTCGGCTTCCCGCCGACGGCGGCCGTGTGATCTCGCACCCACACTTTCGTTCCTGTAGGATAGGCAGTGTGATTGACTCTGCTATCGTGGCGAACCGCCATCCGAGCAGCTGCTTTGGACGTGGCTTCTTTGACACGAGCATATGCCCGTTTCATTGTCTTCAGCCGACTGTTAAGGAACGTCCTGGTCGGGATCGGGTCAGTTTCGGGGCCATACACCACGTCCAGCGGTACCCGAGGCTCGAAGCCATGAATCAAATAGAATGGGGTGTACCCGGTAGTTTCGTGGAGGGACGAGTTGTACGCCATGGCGTAGGACATGACTCCCTCATCCCAGCTCAAGCCTTGGCCATCGACGTATTTCGAAACCATGTCCTTCAGTGTACGCATGAAGCGCTCGACCATGCCGTCGCTCTGCGGGTGATAGGGTGTTGTCCTAGTCTTGTGGATACCGAGTCTCGTATACATCTCCTTCATCATCAGAGACTCAAACTGTGCGCCCTGATCAGTGTGTAGCCTCTCCGGGACACCAAGCTCTTGGACCCAGTCAAGGAAGGCATCCATGACTGTCTCCGTCTTCTGATTTGGCATTGGGTAAATTCTCACGTACTTTGAAAAGTAATCCATGATCACGAGTGCGTATTTGTTTCCTTTTGAGGAAAGAGGCATCTCCGTGATGTCCATGGCAACCCTCTCAAAGGGGCGAGACGTCACCTCAGTCACCAATGGTGCACGCCTGCTCGGGGCAGGCCTACAGCGTCGCTGACATTGTGTGCACGAGGCGCAGTAGCTGCGGACGTCCTCGTTCATCCCCGGCCACACGAATCGGGCTTTTACCCGAGCGATGGTCCGCCTCCGACCCATGTGACCACTGAATTTGTCATCGTGGGCGAGTCTGATGATTTCAGCTTGAATTGCCTTGGGCACGGCCGCCTGGAAACGTTGCTTGCTGGCAATTCCTAACACTCCTGAGCGAACCTCTACTTGTCCCCAGTGCTTCTTCAAGACGGCCCAACCGCTCGTCTCTGTGGATTTAGGCATCCTCCCCTCCTCCCTTGCCCGACACAACGCCGATAACGTTGGATCGTCTTGTTGGGCCTCCAGCAGCAGCGACTCGGTTGATCGTTTCTCCCCGACTGCGGAGGGGGGCGTCAACGTCTTTGTCGCCAGGTTCACCCTGTCTGTCGGCCCTGACGATAATGTGGCGGGTGCTACAGAGGTGATCACGGAATATGGTGACCCTCCTACCCCAGAGATCGCCGCATTCCCTGTCGGCGAAGCCGCCGTGGACCGTGACGGTGTTGGCGAACCGCCAGCCGTCGGGACTGATCCGCCCATTGCTCGCGACATGCCGGCATCCCCAGCCAGACCACCATTGCCCTCATCGACGGACACCCCAGATGGCCTCCTCGATAGTGCATCCGCATTGCCATGCCTCACCCCACTGCGGATCCGAACCCTGAAGTCGAAGGAGCTTAGCTCGACCGCCCAGCGTCCTCGACGTCCTGTGCCATCACGTTCCACCGAGATCGAATCAGGGATGTTTGCCAGAGGTTCGTGGTCAGTCACTACCTCGAACTTGGCTCCAACTGTATATTGCCGGAAATGTCTGATGCCGTGGACCACAGCCCAGAGCTCTTTGTCGTAGGTGGGCCATTTCACCTGCTGCTTCGACAGCGCCTTACTCTCATAGGCGACCACCCGCTCATACTCCCCTGTCTTCTCAGTCAAGACAACGCCAACCGCGAAGTTGCAGGCATCGGTGTACAGGACAAACGTCCCCTTGCCAGTTGGTAGCGTCAGGATCGGCGGCGTGGCCAGGACGGACTTAAGCTGCTCGAAGGCTCCTCGCATCGCTTCCGTCCACCTGATTTGACCGTCCGCCACCGTGGCGTCTCGCAGAGGCTTTGTGATTGCCGCATATCCTTGGATGAAGCGTGCGTAGTACCCGCACAGACCGAGAAAACTCCTCATCTCTTCGTCGGATGATGGATGTGGCCATGCCAGTACCTTTTCCACGTTACGTGGATCTGGCCGGATCCCTTCTTCGGAGACTAGGTGGCCGAGGAACGTCACTTCTTTGCGAGCGAAGCGACATTTTTGCGCCTTGAGCTTCAGTCCCGCCGCTCGGATCCGCTCGAACACCTCTTGTAGAGTGGCCAGATGCTCGTCCTCCGTCCTGTTGAACAGGATGACGTCATCCAGGTACACTAGGCAACTTTTTGTGTCCAGACCCGCCAGGATCATTTCCATCAACTTCTGGAACGTGCCGCTCGCATTCTTCAGGCCCATTGCCATCACTCTGAAGTGATGTAGCCCCTTGCCCGTCGAAAACGCCGTCTTTTCTCGATCTTCAGGTGCCAACTCCACCTGCCAATATCCCGTGGCCATATCCAGCGTGGTGAACCACCTCGCTTTAGCCAGGGTGTCGAGAGAGTCGTCAATTCGAGGGAGTGGCATCGCGAAGCCTTTCGTCACTCTGTTCACTGCTCTCAGGTCAACACAGAAGCGGAAGGTTCCGTCCTTCTTGCGAACCAGTACCACTGGAGAGCACCAGGGACTTTCGCTTTCTTCGATGATCCCATCCTGTAGCATCTTCTCCTTCTGCTTCTCCACCTGGTCACGCACCTTCAGCGGCACCCGCCGTGGTCTTTGTTTGATGGGACTAGCATCACCAGTATCGATCTTGTGTCTGGTTAGATTCGTCTGACCAATATCTCCGGGACGCCAGCTGAAGACATCGGCATATTTCTCGAACAAGCCGCGCAGCCTCCCCTGACCATGTTCCCCGAGATCAGTCAGACCGGGTTCCAGCGCCTGCTTCACGTCCGGATCGATATCTTCAGCTGCCTCCGGTGGAAAACCTCCACCTTCGCAGCTCGCCACCGCGTCAACCATGTCGTCCGGCTCTGGACACAGTTCACACATGTCTCCCAACGAGTCTCCCATCGAGAAGAATGTTCCCACGTCTGAGCCCTTCAGCAGTCGAACGTCTTCTGTCCCGACGTTCGAAAATTGAATGGGCACTGTGCCGTCGGTCGCGACAGCAACAACAGCTCTCGGGATCAACAGTGAGTCCCAGTCGGCTGCAGGGCTCGGCTCCACCATCCCGGTCATGGGCGTCTCTGCCACAGCTACGCCGGATCCATCCAGCGGTTCAACCACCGCTGCAGCTGTCAGGATCGAGCGACCCGGAATAGTCACCGTCTCTGCCAGAACAACCTTAGCTCGGGAAGCTCGAATCTCTGGGTACGTGGGAAGGGAAATTTTCAACCCTTTGATACGAAAAACTCCCTCTTCGTCATCGATGATGGTGCGATGCTGACAACAGAAATCTCGACCGAGAATCACGTCATACACCAGACCAGCCACCGCTGCCAGTCGAGAACATCCGAATGTCTCTCCGGAGATCGACATCGGGACATCACAGAGTACCTCCGTGATCACCAGCGGACTCCCACCCGCTCCCTTCGCAGACCGCGAAGGGGTGGTTGACTTACAGCCCAACTCCACCTTGATGCGCTGATGTAAGCCGCACCTCACCATCGAGAAATCTGCGCCAGAATCAATGAGTGCCCACGCCTCAAGACTACCGATTTTCACCCTGACGGCGGCTGCGGTGAACCGGGACTGGTGAGAAGCAGCTGACTCTCGCCCCACTGAACCAGCTGCCCCTAGTTTTCCGGCTGCCTGTTGTCAGTGGACTTAGTTGGTGCAGTCTGCCGTCTGCCCTGCGCTGAACGGGTCACGTGGTCCGTGAGAGAATGGCAAGCCGCCATCCAGTGACCGCTGCGACCACAGGCTAGACAGAACGGGTGACGTGGACCCCTCCCAGGCTCCTTGAACGGACAGTCAATCCGAATGTGTCCCCTTTCTCCACAGCAGAAACAAATGACGTCACCGGTACCAGACCTCGGCTGAGCGCGGCGAGCCGCCGGGCAGTCTCGTCGCATATGCCCTGGCGCTCCACACCTGTAACAAGATATGTCTCTCGACAGCTCTGAACCTGTTCGGGAGCTGGCAGCAGCTACTAGTGTCTCCATCGAATACCTGAGATTGGCTATCTCCTGTTCCAACTGAGCTACCCGGCCGTCGCTGCAGCTTGCGTCGACCCGGTCTGGCTCAGCGTCAACCGCCGCCACCGCCGACCGAACGCCTGAACAGCCTTGCTGAGTCACAGGTGACTGGCCAGCCGCCCGCACCGCCTGGACCACCTCCTGGCGCTTGTTCAGCTCGTTCACGATAGACACTGCTTCGGACAGGGACCCTGGCCTCCGGTGACACAATTTGGCCTGAAGCCACTCATCCCGCAGCCCACAGATGAGTCGGCTCGCCAAATCCTCATCTAGAAACTTTCTCGGTTCAGTCGAGCCAGACCCTTTCGACCCGGGCGCTGCCGCCTGTGGTGGAAATGCGGCTCGGCCGAGTTTCCCGATGCGGTCTGCAAAATTTGCCACCGTCTCTCCTGGTGCTTGACGCACCCCACCGAGCGCTGCCCGCGCCTCCAGTGGATTGACGGATCTACCGAAACGCTCACCCAGGTGCTTCCGTACCTCGCAGTACGATTTGTTAAGTTTCAACTGTGATTGCGCACAATCCGAGGCCAGACCGTCCAACAACGGCAGGAGACGTTTTAACCGTCCCTCGTCCTCGTGCTCAGACGTCAGCGCCTCGAACCGTGCTATCCATCCCTCCCAGTCATCCGTGTCCACCCCCGCGAACCGCGGAGTGCGTGATACCAGGATGGTGTCATTAAAGTCCATCGCCGGACTGTCCCTGGGGCCCCGAAATATATGCAAAAAAAAAATATTACAGCTGGCCCTTCCACGCAGTGCAATTGTGATGTGGCCTTGTATTTAATGTCGACTGCCGTGTGGACCACACGGCGACAAAAAATCACGCCGAGCAAACCGCTCGTCGATGCCACTTAACCAAAATAAGTCATTGATAACATCCGCCGTGTGATCCACAAGGCGAGAAAAAAAAATATGCTGAGCGAGCCGCTATCAACAGACACGCAATACCAATAACGGCAATTCAAACAAAAAATAATAGCACCAATCCTGAATTCATGTGGCTTACCTCTAGTGGTGTCCTACCGACCGCGCCAATATTACAGGCGATACGCTTAGGCCGATCTTGCACTTGTATTCAAGTATTCAATGTCACGTGGCCCACGTACCAACACACCATCCCGCGTCCCGCGACCGACTGCCCGCTCGCCGCGGCGCGCCCGCTCCCCAGCCGCCGCCAGCCGGGCGGCGGCGCCGCGACCACTCGCCGGGCCGCGCCACGGGCGGCGCCAGGCGCTCGCCCAGGGGCGGCCCGCGCCACGGGCGGCGCCGGGCGCCCGCCCAGGGGCGGCCCGTAACATTTAGAGGCATCGACTGTCGTGCTGGCGTACTGTACGCAAACGCATCCAACTGAATATCTGGCTTGTGGTCTCCGGCTGTGTGCTGCTGTATGTGTTCGTCAGTGCTGTGTCCGTCATTTCGGTGTCTGTCTCGCCGTCGTTTGCCGTGCTGTACCGGGCGTCCGACTGCGGCAGTGGATACCACCCTGGGCAGTGGCCGGTGCCGGCCGGCCTGTATTTCTCGCTGTCTATATCTCTGGGATTGCCGTGCTGTACCGATCGGCGCGGCGGTCGGTGTGACCTGGACCTCTGCCGTCGTTTCACGCTGGCTGCCCCGTTGTCCCGCCGTGCTGTTCTGGGCGGCGGACTGGGTGACCTCTGGGCGTCTGCCGTCATTCATTTCACGGTGGCTCTGCCTCTGTCGTTTGCTGCGCTGTTTAGGGCGCGGCACGGTGTCGCTCCTGGGCCGGTGGCGATCATTTCACGGTGTCTCTCCTCTGTCTGTTACAGAAGCACGCGCTGCTGGCGGTTCTACTCGAGTCAGGCGCCTGCACCGTCCAGTGAGTGGGCTGGGATCCAATCTATCTACCCTAATCTACCCTCTCTAAATGCCCTGAGCTTAGCTCCGACCCCAGCCAGATCCGGCCCACTTGGAGACAGTGATATATTTGAGCCACCGCCCTTGGCTGGGGTCAGCGTCTCAAAAAGTATCTGGTCTGTCAGCTCTGTTACATGTATTCCCAGAATGTTGCCAATCTGCCGGCGCTGATACAGGCAGATCCGGTACCCAGAATGCCACTAATCCGGCGGATCTGATGCCTGCGGCTCTTGTTTTTTTGCTATGTAACTGTTACGCTGTGAGGGGTTGTTACTGTAATGTGACTGACGGCTGACCCAATGTGACTGACGGCTGACCCATTGTGACTGACGGCTGACCCAATGTGACTGACGGCTGACCCACGTCTGCAGGCCGGCGGCCGGCGCCGGGCCCGACTCGATCTACGTGGAGGAGGCGCAGGCCACGCTGTTCCAGCTCGAATCCATGGGCATCATGGACGTATGTGAGAGCTGGTGAGCGACCGCGCCACGGTGTGGGCCCCGTCCCCCTCCCCCTCCCTCACGGTGTGGGTGGCGGTGGCTGGGAAATGTAATAGATGCCTACATCAGGCTAGACGGGGCTCAATACGAGTTTGGCAAGACTGCCCAGTGCCCAGGCGGCTGACAGGAGCGCTGTTTCAATTGATGCCACTGAGATTCCTCTCCATGTTTGTACATTCTAGCAAGTGTGCTCGAGGAGTTGACAGTTTTCCTTTTGTGGTGAGCACGTTGCTGTTTGTGGTGCTCAAAGCCCTTGTCCGCTTTTGTCGTGGCTCCGTCGGTGGCGCAGACCGCTATGTTTCTTGGTTAGCTTTGTTTGCTGCCAGTCCTACCTCGATCGACAAATCCCAGCGCGGTGTCAGAGTCGCTACGTGCTGTGAACTCTGTGTGCGGTGGACTCTTTGTTGTTCCAGCGTGGTGTCAGAGCCGCCGTGTGCTATGGACTCTGTGTGCGGTGTCACAGCCGCTGCGTGCTGTGTGGACTCTATTTGCGGTGTCAGAGCCGCTGTGTGCTGTGGACTCTGTGTTATCCCAGCCCAGTCCGTCCCCTGTTAGTCCGCCGGAGCCGTGCAAGCACCGACTGGCCGCTGTCGGACCGGTCTCGGACCGCTGCTGTACCGCTGTCTGCCGCGGTGGATCGCTCCCCCGCCGGCCGTTCCGACTAACGGTCGGCCGGTCTGTCGGACGACTCGGAGCGCTACTGCCCGGACCGGTGGCGGGGAGGGGAGGGACGGTTAGAACCTGGGCGGTACCGACAGATAGAGGCCCGTCTCCATGTCAGCGTGGGGAGGGGCACAGAGGTGCGTCTGGGGCTGAGGTGGATGACGGCTGATGGGGTGTGGGGAGCAGTGTGTGTGTGTGTGTGTGGGTCTGGTGGAAATGTCCTGGCGTTAAAAATGAACGGATTTAAAATGCTGAGTAACTAAGTGCTGAGTAAGTAAGATTGGTCTTTCATCATGTGAATTATGCATATCATGTGCTACCATTAAAGGTGCGTATCAACTCCTTAGAAATTTTCTCATTATTTAGTAGACACCCGTTAGTGAACGGTGACACTTTTGCTATTGTTTCAGTTGTCTTTTTGAGCAGATTTCTGTGCGTTTTTTATTACTAGACTGCTATACGTTTCGCATTTCATTTCGGTGTAGGCGATAATTGCGGCATATATAAAAAGTTGATGAGTTTTGCATTTCGTTCCAGGTTGGGCGGTAACCCGTCATTGAACACCTCAACAGAGGAAGAATTGCCGGGAGGAGCTCGACCTTACGAAGGATCCGCCAGAGGTGAGTGGCCGTGTGTCAGTGGGCTTTCAGTGACTATCTGACGAGGATAGTCTCAATAGAAAGAATCTCATGTCGGAGGAAGTGCCGGGGAGAAGGGGATAATCTTTACCAACGGCGAGGGTACCTACCACCAGACTAGGTGGCTGGTACCGTGTCACCAGTGTAGCGGGTATGGGACGCCACACTCCACGAACCGATCACGTGTCCTCCAGTGATCAGCTGCTCCGCATCCACCGCAGTTTGGCTGTCAGCATTGTCAGGTGGGCCCTGACAGACCCCGTCTGACTGCTATAAATGAGTCACTCGACCGGCTAAAGCAGAGCTTCTAAAGAGCTCCGTTCGGTTTTATAGCTCTCCGTGCCATAAATCACATCACATCAGTGTCGGCGGCTGGCGCGGGGCGCTGACCGGCCGCTGCCGGGCCCGTGGGCGGCGGCGGGCTCGCCGGCGGCAGTCAATTGGGTGCATCAGCGTCGAGCGGCGGCTGGGCGGCTGACCGATCGGCCACCGACAAATGGCGGTGGCCGATGATCCATCGGACGGCGCCGCGCCGCGCGGCCGCACACCGCCGGTCAGTGGCGGCCACGGCCCTGAACCGGTCTGACCTGACCCGGCCGCACACCGCCGGACGGCCATGGGCCCGATCCGGTCTGACCTGGCCTGGCCCCTGGCCCGGCAGCACGGTCTTACCCCGGCCTGCGCCTTAGGGGTGTCCTGTTACACACAGCCCCGGGTCATCTCATTCCGTCCAACCACCGCTTTAGAGTACCTGCCGTCGACCCGCTCACCCTAGTTGAGCCACCGCAGTCTTATGGGTCGTAGTTTTATATTTCCGCCGCCAGGCGAGGTCTTTCCCGTCGTTCTAAGGGCGCTACAGGGTATGCTTTGCTTTTGCACCGATCTGTTACTATGTTGTTACGGAGCGAGCGAAGCGAGCGGAGTCTTACGTAGAATAACGGAAATTTCTGAGTATGAGCGGCCGGCCGGCCGGCCGGCCGTGCGGACGCTTTTGCGAGGCTTATATCTCAGCAACCACTTGACCGATTTACACGCGGTAATTTTTGTAGGGTAGCTTCATTCCTTCTACCAAGTATTGGAGTATTCCCGATGCATGTGGGTGACCCCTTATGCACGTGCCACGTGCAAAACGAAGAGGTGTCAGTTTTGTAATTGTTGCAATATCTCGGTAACTACTTGGCCGATTGCGCTGAAAGTTGGCATGTAGGTAGGCACCCACTAGGCACTGCATATCCATGTGCCAGAGTTGGGGTGCTGCTGCACGTGCGCACGTGCAGGGGTCGTTTGCAGATCTCGAGAACGGCTGGACCGATGGCGCTCAAATTTGGTACACAGTTAGGGACCAGTTAGTAGGGTGCCGTGCACAAGTCAGTTGGGACCCATTTTGCACGTGCGCACGTGCAGGGTGCCGCTTCCAGATCTCGAGAACGGCTGGGCCGATTGTGCTCAAATTTGGCACGTCGCTAGAGACCGGTTGGTAAGGTGCCGTGCACAAGTCAGTTGGAGGTACCCCCTCGAAATTTCGCACGTGCAAGGCCCACCCTCTCGCTCGCTCCGTTAGTCGCCCCAAAAGGCGTTATACTGGTATGGTATGCTAAAAAAGATAGATTAAACTCGCTTAAATTGAACTGGACTGGTTCTAATGTACACCTATATTTGCTGGTTATTCCAGGGCAATTCGACATTATCGCCGGTCCTACCTTTTCAACATATGTCTTGAACCTGGCAGTTCGTAGCTGTTGCTTTTATACGGCCATATATTTCATGGTGATATGGAGCTGCTTGCATTTCCAATGGATAATTCAGTATGTGCTGTTGGTCGTAGAAGACCAAGATAAACCACCGAAATAAACTAAATAAACAGACAAAGGACTAACGTAATAACGTCATGTCCTCATTTATTACTGTGACCGGTGGTCAGTTTTGGCCTAGTCCGAACCATGGCTGAGCTTTATTTGAACGATAGTGCAACTGGACGCAGCTGCCACTGATAGAACGCCTGCCGCTCAATACTGATTGACACTCTGCGTCAGTATGCGCCTGGAAAACTTTGTGCCGAGCGAAACTTTGTGCCAGCATGGCAGGGTGTGCCTATGTATCTGCAATACGCCGCTCGATAGTTGTATTGCTCCAGTGTGCCAAAAGGTAATGTCCCTCTACTCGCTGTGGCGCTCTGTCCTCAGACACGCTGCTGGAGACGCGCTGGTGGAGCCGCCTGGTGGCCGCGCGCCGAACTGACAGCCGCCGGTCCCGCAGCAGCGCCGAGCAGTCCTTCAAAGGAGCGGACGGTAAGGAGACGCCGGGGTTAGGGGGTTAGCAAGGGGACAGTCGCTAGTCCCATAGCAGTACCGAGGAGTCTGCCAGTGGATGGGACGGTAGGGGGACGCCGCGGGTGGAGTTTGACGCCTTCGGAGAGACGATGAACCGTCAGGTGATCTGTTCTAGGGCAGGTGCGTGATTGGTTCATAGCTCATTTGGTTGGTATCGTGTGGTTTGCTATTATAAGGCTGTTTCATGGCTGGCATGGCTGCTAGGATCAGTTTATCCGTTCTGACATTCAGACATGTGACATTTTGTGTGCCGCTTTTCGCCAGGTCCCAGTTCTCTGGAGGACACACGCAGCGGCGGCGGCGGCAGCGTCTCAGGCAGCGGGACCGGCGGTCGCGGAGGCAGCGGCAGCGGGAGCGCCTCCTGGCGACAGGAGCCGGCCGACAGTCCCGCCTCCACGTCAGAGACGGGCGCCGCGCCGGCCCGACATCAGACGTCAGTATTACAGATTATGTAGTTAGCCCTCGTGTGATAGGTGTTAATTAATAGCTTTCCATTACATTTTAGGTGTATAGTCGACTACAGAATGATGTTCCACTTTTCACAGGCAATTATTTGCCTGGAGTAGTAGGCTGCGCCGCATCACACGGGCGAGTTCACAAATTATAGCTTTGTCCCAATGCTCACAATCGACACGCTTGATTGCGTGATACGCCGCACAACTTAGCGCTCCGGTCAACTGATAGCTTCTGAGGAGTGGAACATCATTCTGTAGTCGACTATACATACCTTAGCATAGACAACTTTGTTAGGACCACAAGATTTATACTAAGGCCAAGATCCACACTAAATTAACAGTACCGCGTAAATATTTTAGAAGTGATATCTTTGGCGACGTTGACTAGCACATTAAGACCGCTCAGAGACCCTCGTCATCGTCTTGGATGACTTCCCAGTGAAGTTATGTCCCTCCCAATGGTCGTCATTTCCGTGCAGTGCCAGTTAGATCAGTATTTCATCTGCCGTTATTCCGGGCGCATTCAGTGCACCAGCGAACACGTCTCAAACTCGGTCCCAACTTATCCCGCTGTTGTGAATTAGGGCATAATATCGAGCAGACACAGGCCTGGCAACTTGGATTGAAATCTGTATTCCGTCTGTCGGTATCGGCTCGGCCGGATGGCACCGGTGAAATATCACGGATGGTGCACCGACGTCTGGCATGTGTCTGTATCGTGAGACGGAGAGGAAATGTAGCGCGGTGAGAGAAGTTTAAGTGGTAACACAACTTGTTCCGCCACTCTGGCGGAGCGCCGAACTTGGCCGTCGGCCGGTGACGGCGTTGTTTTGTTGGCAGGCACTCGGCGTCAGACGACGGAGACAGTTCGACCGACGACTCGGCGGCCGACACGTGGGAAATCTACAGGGTAAGGGGTGACAGGGACACGTGGCCGACACGTGGAAAATCTACAGGGTAAGGGGTGACAGGGACACGTGGCCGACACGTGGGAAGTCTACAGGGTAAGGGGTGACAGGGACACGTGGCCGACACGCGTGTCGGCCACGTGTGGGATGTCTACAGGGTAAGGGGTAACGCGGCCGACACCTGGGAAATCTACAGGGTAAGGGGTGACAGGGACACGTGGCCGACACGTGGGAGATTTACAGGGTAAGGGGTACGGGTGTGCGGTGTTGCATGCACTACGGAATGGTCCAATCTGGCTGCTTGTCTACTCACTACCAACTGAAAGGACACTTTTCAACGCGGCGTTTTACAGGCCCTCTTATCATACACCTGCCCATGGAAGTAGACAGCTGCTTTTTTGTGCTAGTTTAGCAGGTGCAAATGTGAACACTTAGCCTTAATTGTTACACTAACAGCTGTACAAACAATGCACTGACGGCTCACGCTGTCCTAAAAGCAAGGTTGATTAACTCACACCGCCCTCTTAACTCATCATTTATTGTTTGTGTTTCCTTCAGGGACCTCCGAAGAGTCGGTTGCTGCCGAACCAGTACGATCTGATGGAGAACAAAAAGATCTACCTGGGCCAGGCCCTGGAGGACTCCAGGAGGTGCGTACACTCGCCCGTCTCTGAGCTGAGAGGTGGCCGCGCCCGCTGAGCTGCAGAGATGATCGATCGTCTCACATCTGTCAGGGTTTGTCCGCGGTCCGCGCCTGCCTCAGCAGCTAACGCTGGAGCAGGGATAACTTACGTCAAATAAGGGGAATAATGCGGCGATTTATTGTGGCGAGCTCGTCCCTATTCATCGGCTATTGCCAAACCGATGACGTTAGTTCAGTGATGCCGTAACAGACGACAGCTCGGTGTGTGGGCGGTTTTGTGACGTCATTAAACCACCATTCTTATTCACAAATTGTAGACCCTCGTTTTGCGTACTTACAGGCTCGCTGGCGCTGGTCTTTGCCAAACAACTCTCCTTTGTCTGGAACTAATTAGTAATTATGTTGATGTTTCGTAACTTCGACCTAAGACTTTATTTTGCCTTTATGCCTGACCTGTCATTTGCTTAGTGTTTGTTGTGCTCTCTGGAAATACTGTCCTGGAGGGCTTTTGTTATCGTTTTTCTCGTCAATCTACAACCGTTTGTTCAAAATTTGCACGGGAAGATATTTCTCATCCCCTTTCTCTCTCTCCAACCAATACGAGGTAGACTGCTATTGATAGCCCAGCCAATGCGGGGTGAAACGCTCCTGAACTCGTTCTAAACCCTTCATGACTAATACTGAACAGCGGCTGCCCGGCGCCTGTGTGTTCTTTCAGGGTGGTGGCCGACTCGTTCTCTGTGGCGCTGCAGCACGTGCTGCTGGACGTGCCGGCGGCCACCTACCTGGCGCTGCCGGAGCAGCTGCTGGCTGCCTGGCTGCGGCCGGAGCTGGTGGCTGCCTTCGGGCGCGCCGTGGCCCGACTGCTGCCACTGCTGGCGCAACGACCGACGGTACGCAGGGAGGGGAGGGAGGGACGGTACAGAGGGAGAGAGGTGGGGACGGGAGAGGCAGTGTCGCCTGTAGGGAGGGAAGGACGGGCACGTCGGTACGGAGGGAGGGATGGCCCCACCATTATGGGAGAAGGGAAGGGGATGACTGTGCTAAAGTTATGAACCGGGTAGGATCATTATCAGGTTGGTGGTTTGATAACACTTTTCTGTAGAGGACACTGCATTTTAACTGGTAGCGGTCGTATGAATAATGTGGATGAGATTGCTGTGTTACAGGGCGCTCACAAGGCGAGCAGAGCCGGGTGGTCTTACATTTGATATGTATCAGTGGGGATCTGACCTCCTGGACATTGCACATGGTTTTGTGATAAACTACAGCGTCGTTATCGATACGTGACCGGCCTCTAACGCCTCCGCTGCAGGTGACGGGCGGCTTCTCTGGCGGCCCGGCCGCCGGCAGACCGCACGAGGTCGGCACGCTGTTCACTCTGGATGGCCAGGAGGCACAGACCTTCTGGGTGGTCGGGTGAGTTCACAGCTGCGCTAACCCTCGGGACGGATCTGGGTAGTGGAGTGAGTTTACAGCACCGCTAACCCACGGGACAGATCTGGGTAGTGGGGTGAGTTTCCCTAAGTGCAGCGCTAATCCGAGTAACAGAGTAGTTTGAGTGGGTCACATCCCTGATCCGAGATGCACAGAGTACACATGATCCGAGCTAAGTATTGCAGCGGTATGTCGCCACCCGTTCCCGATGGCCCACTCATTATTCAGTGTCAGGGTCGGGGTGAAGCGCTGGTATGATCCCCCGTCGCGCGGTCACCTTGACACCTGCACGGCCCCCGGCTGGTTGGAATGCAGCCGCCGCCGGCGGGCAGCCCTCCGCCCGTGTCTCGGCCAGTGTCCACCTCATTCCGCCGTCTGCCCGGTGTTTATGCCGGGCCACGCCGGGATGCGGCGCGCTCTGGCCATTGTCTCTGTCCGGTCCGTGCTGTGTATTCGTCGGCCGATCGGCCATTGTTTGCGGCGCCGCTGTTTGTGAGTCCGGCGTGTGCGCGGCTAACGCCTGTTTCCCGCTCCAGCCGGCAGATGGCAGCGCCGGCGCAGCGGCTGCTGTTCGTCTGTGTGCCCGGCTCCACACCACCCAACATGCTGGAGATGGCCTTCCGGCTGATCCACGGCACCGGGCCGCGCTGACATGTGACCTGACTCGGGCTGCGGTGACCTCGCGACCGGACATGGGCTTCGGCGACCATGTGACCTGACCCGGGCCGCAGTGATCCGTGGCCTGACCCTGGGTAGACTGCGGTGACCTGGTGACCTGACCTGGACTCTATTGACCTGATTGGTCGGGTCCGGTGTGGGTGTGGATCGCAAGTTCAGATCACTCCTGGACTCCGGTGATTTTGTGACGGCAGACGACTGCTTTCACTGCTCACAGCGGCTCTCAGTCGCCTCGCGTCCTTCCTCCCCAGTGCAATATTGCGACCGGATGAGCCAGCACGGAGTTGTGCCGTAGCTACCCGCTGGTTGCGTATCTAGTGCCAAAAGCGGCAGCAGGAGCTCTACCAGTTTCCGTCCATCGTACCTGATTGGAAATGTGTGTGGGCGTGTATATCAGACTGAATGTATCGGACAGAGCGGTATGGGGCACTAACGTTCGGTCTTGCCGCCATTAAGGTAACGGCTGAGTCCGTTCAATCAGTGTTGGTGCAACCTTTAGGCATTTGCAGCAATACAGCTCGACTGGAGGGCTTCCCATGGTCGGTGACACCTGACCAGGTGTGACGTCACCTGTATGACGTCACGCCGTGTGGATCAAACAGACGGTGTCCCCTGTCGCGCGGGTGGGGGACGGGGACACGGGACAGGTTTCCGTTGACACGGCCGGCGGCTGAGCGCCGCGGACACATATTGATCCGTCCCGGAGCAGACCGGCACTGATGTGCTCGGTAACAGTGAGGCTCACCTATCACTATGAAAGAGGCTGGCTGTTAGTATTACGTGCGTCAAATGTATAACGAGGAGGCTGCTTTTCTTCCCCGTGTGGGTCGGGCCGAGAAGCCAGCCCTGTGCGGCTGGCGCCGCCCCTTGGCCGTACGTGATGTTATTTATCGCATTAACGTTCTATATATTGTGTACGTTGCTCTGCCATTGTTTCACATTTATACGGGTTACTCTTGATACGTACTTTTCCGTCCATTTTCAAGGCGGCTGTGGTTGTTGCAATACACATTACACATATTTATGAAGTGTCTTGCGTTTTTGGTCACTCTAGTGCCGCGAATCGTTAGTTGAAGTTGATCAAGAGTCCCTATTGCTCCCACTTGGTGAGAGGTGTGCCTCTGGATTTGAACCCCTGCCCGCGAGCGCTGCCCTGTCTCGTCTCTCACCCCGTGATCAGGTGGCAGGTCACCTCCGGACTCCAGAGTTGGAAGCCGTTTGGTGTACCTAGCCGAGACTTATGAACCGGCGGACAGTAAATAAGTTTCAGAACCAGGGCTGATGGATTTTGGGGAACTCCAATTACGGCTTCCAAAAATTAACCCTGGCTCCGACTCAGAGTAGAACTATCGACTCCGACTCTGCAGGTCTGGTCTGGAGTGGATAGCCTTTCGGTGACTCCGACTCCGACTCCGGTTTCCAAAATAGACTCAGACCGACTCCGTCTCCGATTCCTCAGCCATGTTCAGAACATGTTCAGAACGCAGCAGTGCATGCATAACATGTATGTACGCAATATTCATGCATCGCATGCATGCATACACGCATAGCATATCATAGTTCATATGTGCACAAATATACAGGGTGGAAAGAAAAATATGTTCTGATTTTAACAGCCCGTCACATCAAATCGAGTAGTAATATCTCAAAATGAATTAGTGCATTTGAATCACCTTTTCTGGAAGTTTTATACCTGGTGTCATTCACACTCTTTCTCGCTCCTGGGCGTCCCCCACAGCACGTGTTCTGAGTAACCTCTTTTTCGCAGAATTTAGAGATATGTGTACCGCGCAACCTCCGAGATGAATTCAGCGCACAAATCGGGTGGATTCTACGTGCGACCTTCCAAATCGTCTTCATCACGTTCGGGAGACTCTCTGGGCTCATGGCTGTCACCTGTGATTTCATTAAACCCCACAGATAAAAACCAGGGGCGTCGGGCCTGAGAAGAGGGCTGGCCATGAAATTTCGGCTTTTTTGACTGGTCACGTGCCCTCTAAAGTGTTCCTCCGGCCAGGAGAGGCCCGCTCTTTACGTGCTAGGTGGAGCCCCGTCTTTTTTGGAAACAATTTACTCAGTTAAAACATTCAGGGCTGCCACTGTTTAACGCTAGAGCCTCTCCAGCACCCGAGCGTAGCGTTCCTTATTGACGGTGGCCGTGGTGCCTTTCGATGTTTCGAGGGAAACGGTCCGAATGAGCGGTAAAATCAACCCAGAACTGTCAAGTTTGGGCTTCATTCCCTCTGGGCACAACGTTATAGAGCCCTCTGCACAGTCTCACATTGACGTAATGATGTGTTATGTCCACCGCCTGTCTCATCGGACCGTTTTCCCTCGAAACATCGAAAGGCATCACGGTCACCGTCAACAAGGAACGCTACGCTCGGGTGCTGAGAAGGCTCGGGCGTTAGATAGTGACAGCTCTGGAGGGTGTAACTGAGTACACTGTTTCCAAAAAAGACGGGGCTCCATCTAGCACATAAAGAGCGAGCCTCTCCTGGCCGGAGGCACACTTTAGAGGGCACGTGACCAGTCAAAAAAGCCGAAATTTCATGGCCAGCCCTCTTCTCAGGCCCGACGCCCCTGGTTTTTATCTGTGGGGTTTAAAGGGACCCTCCCACCTTAACATTAGATTTGAGTTGAGATAGCCAAAATGGGGTCCCTGGCTCACAATTACCGGTTTCGGCACTCACAACATCGAGAAATGCCTTAAATCGGAAATATTGAATTTCAAAATTGCAGCATTTTGATTCAGAGGGGCTAATGCTTAGGAATACCCCTCTGAATGTGTGACGTCAGCGCAAATAGCTAACGATTTTTAAATGTTTGACTAAAACGTTTTGTAGCACGCGGTGGTATATGCTATTTGCGCGCAACATCTGCCGCAAACGCCGCACTTCTAAAATAAAGTCGCTAGAAACAGCGGAGATCCCAAAAAAGTAAACAAAAGTAAAAGTCTAATAGGGGAGAGTGGTGCAGGAGGCCCCCCCTTAAGCTCAGTTACTATTTTTAGACAACTGATAATATTTAAGCGCTAACGTGTGCATGCGCTGTGAGCATGCATCATTTTCCCATACATATTTGCATTCAAAATGAATCTAGGGGGTACACAAACCGCAAACTTTAACATTTTGGAAAAAGTTGCAAAAGGGCCTCTTACACTATGGGTATGGTAAGACGCCCCCCCCCCCTCGGGCGTTTTAAAAGTCAAGTCGACTTGTAAAAGACGCTTTGCGAACACAGCTGCAAGGCCGTTTATTTCGAAAAGCTAAGCAAATACGGTGTTATCGAAACCAATAACACTTCCAAAGCGCTCGAACAATGCGAAAACTAGCACAACCAAACGCTGATGACCAACGAAAATTGTACCTATAACCTCTAAGAAAAGAAACAGAAAAAAAGAAACAAAAACAAACTCCTTGAAAAAAGAATGCCACGCCTGCCGCAGGTGCAGGCGTTTTAGCATCGGGGGCGTTTTTTATCGGGGGGCGTTTTATCATCCTCGAAGGGAGGGCCTCTTAAAAAAATACAGTGTTTTAACGTCCACAATATTTATGGTTTATGAGACATTTGCAGCGCACCAGAACATGGTCTATTCTGAAGCTAACATGTGACAATTTCGATGAGAAAAGATTGCATTTGATAGCCATTGTTTTTTTCAGATATATAAGGGTGATAAAGATGCATATATCTAGCAAGTAAAGGGGCAAAAACAGAAACAGGCTTACCAAAAGTCGCTGCGACGCACCTGATACCTCAGGTTTCGTGAGTTGTTGTTTCAAGAGGGCTTCTGCTTTACAAGAACATTAAAAAATAAATAACATTATTGGTTTGGTAAAAAAAGCGATGGGGCCTCTTACCGACCCTGGGCGTCTTACACGGATCTCCCCTATCTTGAAAACCGGTGAATATTTTTCGGTGAAATTTGGTAGATATTCGTTTTCGCTCTTTTTGAACCGAGCGACATCACTTTCATGCCAATTCATAAACTTTTTTGAAGGTGGGAGGGTCCCTTTAATGAAATCACAGGTGCCAGCCATGAGCCCAGAGAGTCTCCCGAACGTGATGAAGACGATTTGGAAGGTCGCACGTAGAATCCACCCGATTTGTGCGCTGAATTCATCTCGCGAGGTTGCGCGGTACACATATCTCTAATCTCTAAATTCTGCGAAAAAGGGGTTACTCAGAACACGTGCTATGGGGGACGCCCAGGAGCGAGAAAGAGTGTGAATGACACCAGGTATAAAACTTCCAGAAAAGGTGATTCAAATGCACTAATTCATTTTGAGCTATTACTACTCGCTTTGATGTCACGGGCTGTTAAAATCAAAACATATTTTTCTTTCCACCCTGTACCTGGGGGAGGGGGTGGCGAGCGCCCCCGTGTGCGCCGCCGCGCCACTCGAGCCGGCCAAGCGCCCGCCCTGTCACCGCGCCCTCCCCCTCCCCCCCACCAGGGATGGGGGCGGACGGATGGCGCCCGAGCCTCATACCGCCTCGGGACCCGACCGGGCCGCCGCGGCTGACCTGACGGAGGGCGCTCAGCTGGCGGCTCCGGCCGGTCTGGTGGCCGCCGCCTCCACCGTACCGGCCGGCTCCCGCCCGGCCCGGGCGCGGGTGGTTCACCGCGGCCGGCGCGCCCGTCACCGTCAGCGGGGCTCGCGCGGGGGTGGAGCCTGGCGCCGCGACTCCAGCGGTGGCATGTTCAAGATCTGTGCCATCAACATACAGTCTCTTAAACCCAAGACCGTCGAACTTTCTCATGAACTTGACCGGTTTAAATACGACATTGTTCTCATCAGTGAGTCATGGCTCAAGCCCAGCATTCCCAGTCGCCTACTTGCTTTCCCTGGTTATGACTTTAAAGGGACCCTCCCACCTTCAAAAAAGTGTATGAATTGGCATGAAAGTGATGTCGCTCGGTTCAGAAAGAGCGAAAACGAACATCTACCAAATTTCACCGAAAAATATTCACCGGTTTTCAAGATATTAGACTTTTACTTTTGTTTACTTTTTGGGGATCTCCGCTGTTTCTAGCGACTTTATTTTATAAAAGCGGCGTTTGCGGCAGATGTTGCGCGCAAATACCATATACCACCGCGTGCTACAAAACGTTTTAGTCAAACATTTAAAAATCGTTAGATATTTGCGCTGACGTCACACATTCAGAGGAGTATACCTAAGCATTAGCCCCTCTGAATCAAAATGCTGCAATTTTGAAATTCAATATTTCCAATTTAAGGCATTTCTCGATGTTGTGAGTGCCGAAACCGGTAATTGTGAGCCAGGGACCCCATTTTGGCTATCTCAACTCAAATCTAATGTTAAGGTGGGAGGGTCCCTTTAAACGCAGTGACCGCAAGTTTACTCCCAAGGGTTACGGCGGTGTGGCGGTGCTGAGCCGAGCCGGTATGGAGACCAAGAAGATTGACGTTCCAGCCCCGCGCAGTGACGACTCTAAGCTTGAGTCACTGTGGCAGCTGCACCGGTGGGGCCGTCAAGAGGTCGTGGTTGGCGCCGTGTACCGAGCACCGCGGCGTACCGCGGCCGCGCTTGACGCCGACTTCTCCGAACTGGACGCACAGTACCAGCACGTCACGCTCCGTTACCCCGGCCGGCCAGTCATCATTGGCGGTGATCTAAACTGTTGTATGCTAGCTGATCCCAGTTCACATGCTGGCTGCGAGAGGTTAACCGCCTTTCTGAACAGATACTCGCTCACGCAGACCATCTCGACTCCCACTTACTCCACCGGCTCCCTTCTGGATGTTTTTATTGTCAACCGTAGTTTCGTTCTTAAATCAGGTACTAGGTTTTGTCATTTTAGTCCTCATCGTTTCATTCGCATGATCTGTGACATCCCACGATTTAGACGTAAGCCTACTGTCACCAAGGCTCGTATGTTCCGTAACATTGACATCGCTGATTATCACCTTGACCTGTCGTGTTGTGACTGGAGCCAGGTCTACTTATCAGACACCGTATCCGACAAGTGGGATTATCTTGTTGACGCCGTGCGCGG